CCCCATTTACTATTTGAAGAGGGGATTCTATGCTCCGTTCAATATACGGCAATACGGGGTGGTTTGGGCATGGGAATTTTACTATCATGCCTACTAGTGTAAAATAAAGAGTTTTTTGAAACTTATTTTGAAGCATCGATTTTTCAAAATAGAAAGTGTTTTGTGTCTAGAAATTCTTTTGAAGATGTTATAAGATTGGCCCCGTAGCTTAACGGGCCCACCCGAATTTGGAAACAGGTCTAGTAATAGCTCCATTTTGCTTCCAAAAAAAATAAAAATTAATTAATTAGTAATAATAAAATGAAAATTTCACCATTTATTTTTCTATTCTTCCCCCTCAGAAGTAGGGTTCTAATCTATATGTACACGTATCGTGTCAATGTGTATCTATATCACCATGACTCTCTATCCCTTCCTCCTCCGTTCCATCCGTCGATACTCCACCTCCAATTCTCTCCAAACACCCATTTCGATAATCGCCTCCACCGCCACCACCTAGTCCCTTTACCCTAACTTTGATTCACACCACACAACCACTAATGCCTTCCAATCTCCCACCACTAAATTTATCGATGCCACCGTTACTCTCAGTCACAACATCCCTCTTACTGCTCCATACATCCCATATTGCTCATATGGCTTCTCCTCTGCCGAGGAAGCGACGGCTGAAAGATGACGTCAACAATCTTCCCATCGAGCCCCCTCCCTACGCCCTCCGCCCTAATCCTGCTTCCCACTCATCTGACATCAACAACCTTGACAAGCTTCGCTTGCCGGACTCCATCTCTGCAATCCCATCATCGCTGCCATGTACCTTGCCAAACGCTACCATGAAGCCAAAGCCCTCTTTTAGTACTTCTTCAACCAGTTCAATATCATCCCCAATATTGTTTCCTACAATAATCTTATTGTCTCTGTTAAAATTTTGGTGTGACCCGAATTTCTTGTTTGAAGCATTGAAGATTTCTAATTAAAGTATACGTCAAGGAGAATTCAAGTTTGAAATGCTACTGGAGTCCTATGTCAAGTTGAAATTCTATTTTGGAAGCCCATTGGGAATTGAAAATTGGTATTAGACTTGAAGAAGAGTTCAAGATGGAGAAAACAATTTTAAAAAAAATAATAAAATACATTTTTTTCAAAATGTCGGCATGGCGCCTGTCCTGACGCCCACCTGACCTGTTTCGAGTTTTCTGCGTTTTTCTAACATTTTTCGTTTTGAACTCAATGTTTGACATCATATTTCATCAACAACTCTACTAAGAGAATTTGAACGTCTCCTACATGTTCCCTATAAATATTAGGCTCTTCTATATAATTTCAAAGTGTGAGAAAATAAATTACTATAATTTGAGGATCCATTGTAATTTCTCTCTTCTCCATTATTTTTGAGTTAATAAAACCTCTTAATTCATCTGTCATATTTCTTATCTTTATTATTCATTTGCTTGATCTAATATTTCATTATTTACCATATAACTAACAATTCATTACAATAGTTGGTTTCATCAAGTGGTATTCTAACAATACATAATTCTTGTATTTCCAATATTGCTAACAACGATCTGGGCATATTAATATTTCTTCTAACAAGAAATAATTTGGTTGTTTCATAACAAGTGGTATCAGAGCCTAAGTTCAGTAGTTCCACAAGAGCACATGGTTTGATTTGTTCGAAGTTTTTGTTCGTGATGGCTTCCATGAAGTATGACATTCCACTTTTAGATTGGAGCACTAGATTTTCACTATGGTAAGTTAAGATGTGTGCAGTACACGCACAGCTGGATTTGGATGATGCATTGTTGGGAATTAACAAGATGTCCGTACCTTTGACCGCGAATGAGAAATTACGGAAGGATAAGAAGACAGTTTCTCACATTCATCTTCATCTATCGAATACTATTTTTCAGGAGGTTTTGAAGGAGGTTTAAGCAGCTGCTCTATGGTTGAAGTTGGAGCAATTGTGCATAACTAAAAGTCTGACAAGCAAGTTGAATCTCAAGCAACGTTTATACTCTCATCGAATGGTGGAAAGAATATCATTGGAAGATCACATGTCTGTATTTAAAGAGATCGTCGCTGATTTGAAAATTTTGGAAGTAGAGTATGATGAAGAATATTTGGCCTTGATCCTATTGTGTTCGTTGCCCACTTCGTTTTCTTTATTTAGAAACACGATCGTGTATAATCGTGATACTCTCACCATAGAGAAAATGTATGATACTTTGTATTCAAAAGAGAAGATGAAGTATCTGGTTTCTGATGCCGGAGATGGAGAAGGTCGAATTGCTTATGATGGTTCTGAAAGGAGCAGATCGAAGTCTAAGTTCAGTAATCAAATTTGTAACTACTGCAAAAAGAAGGAGCACATGAAGAAAGATTGTTACAAACTGCAGAATAAAGAAAGATTGGCGGCAAGTCAATATAGGAAGCAAATAGATACTTCAGGCGAAGAAGATCTCGTGGAGAACATTGATGGAGATTTTTTGACTATTTCTGACGTGGAGTCTAAACTAGAGGAGGATTGGATTCTTGATTCAGCATGTGTGTTTCATATGTGTCCTAATAAGGATTTGTTTATTACATATGAAACTGTTTTCAAAGGTGTCGTAGTTATGGGAAACAACATACCTTGTCGGGTTACTGGAATGGTACGGTCAGATTAAAATTTTTGGATGGAACAATTAGAACACTTGCCAGGTTTGACATGTTTCAAATTTGAAGAAGAATCTTATCTCGTTGTCTATCCTTGATTCAAAATGTTATGAGTTCTTTGGTGGAGGTAGAACTTTGAAGGTTTGTAAGAGTGCCCAAGTTGTATTAGAGGGACAGAAAATATCTCACTATACATCTTGCAGGGTCGTGTAAAATCTAGAAGAGTCAATCAGCACATGTACAGTACTGTGGTGGACATTCAATTTGATACAATACCTTTAGAAGCTCTTATATGGTCGAATTTGAAGAATATTGTTTAGTGGAGTTTAGGAGATATGGATAATGCCTCTTTCTCACCATCACATGCGGTGCAATTGTTTTCAATTGCTAGGGACGGACCAGTGGAAAAGGATATGTGGATGCTTGTTGAGAATGCTTTAAGTAGACTAGAAGGTGTTCAATCTAACAAGGAGCTTTCAGTAAAAGCATTTGGTATTGATTCTGCTTTGGGGTATGTTACAGCCCATTTTGGTAAATTATAAAATCGTTATGAATTTTGGGAATCTGAGATAATTCTATAAGAGTAATGCTTGGATTCATTGGAATATGTAGAGTATTATGTTTTGTTTGAGAAATTAATTTTTTAGTTATTGTTGAAGAAGCCGTACATTCCTTGTTGTAATTTGTGTCAATGTCGGGATTGTTACAATTTCGGGTGTAACCCGAATTCCTTATTTAAAGTATTGAAGAATTCTAATTGAAGTACACATTAAGGAGAATTCAAGTTTGGAATTTCAAATTGAAGTTCTATTTTGGAAG